CTTATGGGTAACAATGCTTAGATTTATCACTAAAGACGGGTTCAGTTTTTCACATTTTTAATTAAAGCATTATAAATTATATATAAATTTATTTCTCAAGAAAATTTCATCAGGAAAGAATTGAAAATGTCAGACGATCATATTCACTATGGTTTTTTTTTGTTTTGTTTTTGGTACTGGAGATCGAACTCGGGACCTTGCGCTTCCAAGGCAGGCGCTGGAACCACCGAGCTAAATCCCTGGCCCTATACTCACTATAATAATACACAAAAATAGTAGCAAATCAGTAACAACTTATAAAAAATGAGTGAGCTGGGTTAGTATATGTGTGATTTACTGTACACATTCAGAACAGGAGAAAAACAATTCTTTCTCAGGGCTCTGTACATACTGTACACACCTCCATTGTATTAAAACTGCCCTAACAAAAACAAAAAATAATAATCTACATTAATTGCTTATGGTTCTTCCTGGATAATATAGATACTTGAGAAATAAACATTTTAGATTTGATGCTTTCAAATTTTGCTCTTGAGTAGATCTCTGAATTTACACACCATTGGCCTATGGATGCACAACTGGCTCTAACCCTCCAATTCCACCTAATATCCTGCTATTTTTTATGAGCTTTAATAGCCCGTTTTAAAGTGGTAGTTTCTTTAAGAAAATAATTACAATGTAAATTAGTCTTCAACAAATAGTAAGGCACATTTTAGAATTAAATGCCTAGGTATTGAAGCTTTGCTTTCTGATATGTTTAAAACCATTATATAAGTTTAACCATAGCCATTCAATCTACGTACCTAGAAATATCATTCTTTCTGTTGCTAATGAAGGTCCTAAGGCACAAATTTATTAAAGGTATACGTTTGCATGGGATAATAATTGGGTCGATAATATTAAATTCATAGGCTCATTATTTAATTGCAAGGGCAGATTATGAATACAGCTTCTAAAATGTATTTTAATGAAAAACACTACATCCTGACCTAATCATATCAACCTTATGCTATCTAATTAAGGATGCAAAAAATCATTAGAGTTGCAAAATATTAGTTCCAGCTCCATCAGGCTGTGAGCTGCCCCTTCATGAATATATATTTTTTTACTCCGTGATAAATAGTTAATGAGGTAAAAATGACAAAATTTGCATGTAGGCAAATTAGTTTAATAGAATAATGTCTTTTCTGACTACTGAAAGTGACCTTTTCTTTATCAAAAAGTGGCTAAAAAATACTTGAAAATTATCATCCGGCTGTCTCTGCACAAATGATAAATCACATATATGAACAATATGAAAATTATAAAATGCAATAATCCTAAATTCTCATCATACTGCAAATGTGCTCTATGCTTTTGCATTCATCAATTTAACAAAACAAAATTAAACATATTATAAAGTGTCAGTTTATGGGACAATTTTTATTCCACATCATAAAAATGACAAGCATGTGCTTAACTGCTATTGCAAACATCTAGATCAAATTTTTAGAGCTCAAGAATTCTAGACTATTTACTTGAAATACTCTTATATTAAAATGTCTATTCCATTCAATTTGGCATTTTAGATTATAGATGATTGTTTTCAACTAAGCTGGCACTGTATCTTGAGATTAGTAAATCAATTATTTAGTAGGGTAACCTTGCTTCCCCATTGAAATAAACTAAACAAGCAAACATAAGACAACATAAGAAGAAAAACATACAAAAATTAAATGGGAAGAAGGCTTCAGAGTGCAAATATCCAGGGCATGGAAAGACATAAAAAACAAGTAAAATACATATGTCTATCCATTTTAGTTTGAGGTTGTTTATGTAGGCTTAACAACATAACCCGACCATAAGAAATACGGGTGTTCTCTGAATTTTCAAATGATTTGCATAAACATCACTACAACTTCCCTTCACTGATAGAGACTAAGTCTATATATGTTGTGAAGGAACAACCAGCTGTTTACCCAGATAAATGCGCTTCTATCAATAGTACGAATAAATTTAAGCCAAAAAATCTAATGCCTTGGATTAAATCATTCATTTTAATTACATTTAATCAAATTGTCTTTTCTTTGATCCATTTGAAGGCACGCACAGAGAAATACAGACACTCAAGGTTTGAGGTCTCTTCCTGAGTCTGACTCTTGACCACCATGGGTCAATGAAGACATTTTACAAAGGCATAAATGTTATACCCAAAGAATTAAATACCTTTACAATGTTTCAATTTTCTTTATAGCAACTAAGCACTATGTTCTCTCCCTCTCTGTGTCTCTCTGTCTCTCTCCTCCATTGTTAAAACAGAACTAATAAATAATCAAATAATTCTGATTTCTCTTTTTAGGTTCATGTCAAATCATGAAGGTACTCAACTTTGTATTATGTCCAAATTTCTAAACTTTCATGTTGTAAAACCTAGGAATGAAATAAACCATATTCCACCTACCATAGGCATGTGAAATTATCTTAGGAAGGAAGTGCTCTTTGCACAATTAATTTCAACAAGTTGGGACTTTCACTAATCTTCCTGTTAGTCAAGGATATTTGAAGAAGAAACCAGAATGAATATAAGGAAAGATAAACCTTGTTTTTCTTCAATTCAGGAATAGTGGTCTTGGAAATGTGTACTGTTCTGTTAACTATGAAGTAAACAGAATTTGAGATGCACATACTTAGTATATTAATAATGAACTCATAGAATTTTTTTAAAAGCTAATGTCTAAAGTTTCTATCAGGCAGGAAATTGGGTGAGGTACATTATATGTGCAATGAGGTACATATATAGATAAGGCATATACAAGGTGAAATTATATGGGCAAATTAAGTACTGTATGTTCAATTTTCCAACTATTCATGCACAGGTCTTTATGTATTGAAAAACATCAGGTAGACTGGTACTATATTCTAGAGACTGCCAGAGATTGAAGACATAAAGATTTAGAAGTCACTCTAATTCCACAAAGAGATCTCACTCTAAAACAAAGAGAGACACATGAACAGATAATTCTCAAATTGTGTGCTAATGCTAGAAAAGTCAACTGAAATGGAAGTTTTGATAATAAGGAAATGGTCCTCCCTGGGTTGGACCCATGGAGAAGACACTTGAGCTAAGCCCTGAGGAGTGATACTGAGTGGGAAGAGGAGAGAGGGATGGGGATAAAGGAAAAGTCACTAAAAATGCAGAAGAGAATCATTTCAAAATGCAATTATCCAATCGTAGCAATTTTGGTTTTTGCTTTCCAAGTGCTATGAAGTTATTGAAGGGTTTGTGATAGAGGAAGGCAGGGTTACAGTTATATATTAGCAGTGTCACTGTGGCAGGAGTCAAGTGTGAATTCATACTGTGACGATCAGAGACTAAGGTAGCGAGAACATCAGTTCAGCCTTGCTGCTCTGCGGCAGCTGAATATTGAGGGCCTTGATGTATGCAGTAGCAAATGGATTACAGAAAAGATAATATTAAGAGAATAAATTCAGTAGGACTCAGTGATCAAATAAAATTCTAGGACACACGGGCAAATCTAGAAAAACCCTGACTTTGAGGCTTTTGTGATTCAAAGCAGATGAAAAAGTTGTGTCCAGAGAGTATACAAGTGTAAATGCTGTGATTTCCTCATACAGATGAAATGCATGTGTTAATTAAACAATGCGTATGAAATAGAACTTGTCTGGATAATATAGGAATTTTGGCATCTTGGCATTCACATGGAGACATCAAGTAAGCTACTGAGTTATTCAGTATGGGACTTGAAAGGCAGATGTAGCCTTCAGTTACACAGCTAAGAATCTTCAACATGTGGAAGACAATTTTCAAGGTAGTTAACCAAAAACAGGGTGTAGAGTAAGAGGAGGAATAAATCAGGCATAGAATCCTGGAAGAGGCTTAAGAAGCTGATGGAGGAAGTGTCCCCCACAAAAGAAGTCAGTAAGGAAGATTACTAAAAGAGGGATGGATGAGAATCAGGAGCTGGATGAACAAGGGCCTTGAAAGAGGACACAGAAAGAGTATTCTCTTCCTCCCATCCACTACAGGCAACTGTAAAGCCAACAACATCCTCCCATGCAGAAACCCTCTTCCTAGCTTCCCACGCATTCTTCACAACCTTTGTGAAGTTGTACCATATATAAATGTACATACTAATAAATATCTCCCTTAACAAACAATTGTGCTAAACTGTAAGAACCACTCAAATTAGTTTCCTCATTTTGACTAATAAAAACAGTATAAAGTCAAGTTGCATGATTTGTAAGCTGGTGGCACATACAAGAGTAAATAGCTTCAAGAACAACATTAAAAATGCAACCTCTTGCTGAAAAGCTAGCAGAGTGAGTTTCTTTTGTACATTCAAAAAATAAATAAACTAGGATTAGAGGTCCCATTTGACCCAGCTTTTCTCCTGCTGAGTATCTTCCCAAAAGTATTAAAAGCATCATACTCATGTTTATAGCAGCACAGTTCATAATAGTTAAAATTTGGAAACAGCCCAAATGCCCATCAACTGGTGACTGGATTAAGATGTGGTTTTTATTTTACTATATAAAATGGAGTACTAATCAGCCATAAAGAATGATAAACTAGAGACATTTATAGCTAAATGGATACACATTGAGGCCATACTCTTTAAGTGAAATAAATAGGACACACATGTATAAATACCGAATAGTTTCTCTGGTGTGAGAAACTGAAAGTGTAAGTGAGGACCAAAATGTATAACAGATAATGTGAAATAGGAAGAAAAGGTCCAAAGGGGAAGGGGAAGAGGTAGGAGGAAAGGAAAGAAGGAAAAGAAAAAAATATGAGAAAAGGAAAAAATGAAAATGATGTCTTTGTAAATAGGCAAGGGTGGAGAGGTTGAAGGGAGGGCAAGGGAATGAGGAAAAAAAATAAGAACTATGACATATCATGTAAAGGTAAAAATTCCCAATGATGAATGTCATCATATTGTATACCCAAAATGTACCAAGAAACTTAATGAATAAAAAATAATCAGCTTCAAGCCACTCACCTTCCTTCTTTCACCATTGACTTCTCTCCACTGCTCCGATCTTTTCACTATGTAACTTAGCTCCTGATTGGAAATCTCCAAATCATATGGCATGAAGAACTTGATTTCTTCACTGTGGATGTGTTGAAATGCATCTAATATTCAAGAGGCATTGTGCAGCCTAAGAATAAAATTGTCTGTTATTCTGTTTTTACTTTCCCCAAATCTTTATGATTAGTTTTTCTTATTATATATTTATCAACTTCTATTTATCTAGTACATTTTCCCATTTCTAATAATAGTTGGAAAATTGACTTGGTAACAATGCATCAAGGAGCTTTTCACTGGAAAAAGCCACCCAAAGTGGGAAGAGAAAAATTTAAAAATAAAACTAGAATGTAATGAATCTCTGCTTCCTGTATTCCAGTGTGCCACTTTGTTCTCTGTCAAAGCCCTATCCTGACAACAGACATTTGAGTGGGTTTGCAGTTACTTCTTATAAATTTACTGATTCTAGTTTTTGATGTCCAAGAAATAGACTAGAAAATCGGGAAACATTTGGCCGTTAATCAGGATTGTTGATATTTAAATTAGTTCAAATGTGAGGAATTTGTCCAAAGAAAATTTAAACTTGGATTCACTCTTCCTGAAAGACTTGGTTTTAGTGTTTCATGGTGGAAACTGTTAATTCATTGCCATTGATAAGTCACATTTAGATGAGCACTATAGGTATTAATTAGGTCAATGCTTATAGAACTTTTCTATTAAGTACTGCTATAGACAGAGAAGAATGTCAACGCTACCCCAAAATTACTAGTATTTATTTCAATATAATATAATATATTTAATTTTTAAACCATTGGATAAGATTGAAGGTTTCGGGAAATATATTTATCTTGTGACTTAGTATACTTTCAGCTCACTATGTATACCTAGTTTAAGAAACCCAGAGTTGGGCCCCAAATAGCCCATAAGCTAGATCAAGAACTCTTATGTATCAATGTTAATACCCTACCCTTTCAAAAAGTAAATTTTAAAAAATGCCTGAGATATAAATTGAATTATCAAGATGTCTAAATACCACATAGAAATGCCTCTCCACACTATCACACATTCAAAGGGGAGAACTGGAAGTATTTTATTTCAGTGGTCAGAATGATTACATTGTCCACTACTTTAGATGATCAATACTAGAATTTATTGATTGATCATTATAAAAGGAAAACACTTCAAATTCATTGCGTTATCGTAGCCTTAACTTAATCCTGCCTTTGCATATTAATACATTAAAATTAAAAAGTTAGTCTTACTGTTCATAGGTAACAGAGAAAACATTTCAACTCAGAGCTAGCTAAAGTTTATTTCATTCTGACTTGAGTCAAAACAACCAATACCAAATAACAACTTGGTTTAACTATGTTTTGATTCTTTCTAAAACACTAAAATAGATTTTTTGAACCTCCTCACTAAATGTGGCCTAGGTGTCTTTTTCACCTATTTTGCACTCACACAATGAAAAGAGGTGTGCAAGTGCCATTTATCATATGGTCTGGTGCCATCTTGCAATCTGTTTTTTCTTTTTTTCCTGTGGCCCTGGGAATTGAACCCAGTATTCAGTGTGTGATTGACAAGCACTCTACTGCTGAGCTAGAGCCTCAGGCTGCCTGCTACCATCTCGAAAAACATCTTCTGCTTCTACTGTGCTTTGAGATTCTCGGTCAGCCTAGTAAATCAGAGTGATTTACTAGTTGGCTTGTTAAACATGAACTAGTCTTTGCCATTCTCTTAAGCTTGTTTAACATAACATAACATTCATCTTTTGCTTTTAATGGTGGCAAGATTTAATGTAGTTAAATTACTGTCAATTTGCCACCATAAACATTTTCTATATGAAGATTTTAAGTGCAGGATTATCAACAGTGCAATTAACTTCGAATTAATTAGGAATCACAGCCCTGTTTCTGCTGGCTTCTGTTTCTTTTGCCCAGAAAATGTCTGTCTCCTTTATATTTCTCTTTCATTTTGTGTGAAAGAATAATTATGTAAACACCCAAACATCTACAGGATGGTAAACAAATGTTTTGATAGAGAACAAAATGGCAATTGGAATATAGGAAGCTGTTCAAAGATTAATTATATTTTAGTTTTATATCAATGTTTTTCTTTTGCCACTTCAGGTGGCATTTTTGAGGGAAAAGCTCCATGATGTGTCATTAACAAGCCAATTTACCAACATGTATTAGTCTATAGCAAATACTACAGCTTTATAAAGACAGTTTACACAAGCAAGGAAAAAATATTCTGTGCCTACATAAGTAAAATAAAAATAAATAAATACATTGAACAGTGATAATTATAAAATTTTTGATGATATATTAGTTATGCAACATAATGCATATCTGAAAGTGAATTACTTTATTCTTTTGGCTCTAAAGATATTTCATATGTCCTTGACTCTCCACTTTTCTGGTTCTCTTCAAAAAATTAAAGAACCCAATAAAAAGCTGAATTTCTAAAAAAATAAACAATGTAAAAACAGTTCTAATGTCATTAACAAATTCTGTATTGGTGATACTGAGGACAAAGAGCAAACAAATATTTTCTTTGTATTTACAGCATTAGAGTCATTCAATGCAATATTATTTAAATTTTTCATGATCATATTTAGTTATGAAAGTTTATTATTTTCAAGTGGGTCAGAAATACTGAGATATATGTTCACTCATTTTCTGCAATTTGGATGTGCTTATCAAATTGAATTATATAAAGTTGAAGGTATTTAATCATATTAGCTGAAAGAAGAGAAAAAGAAAAGCAAATGAAATATTTTTATTTTTTGTTACTGGGGATCAAACTCAGGACCTTGTGCTTGAGAGGAAGGTGGCAGCACCACTGTGCAAAATCCCTGGCCCAAATGAAACATTTTTAACAATTACTGAATCTAGGAGAAGGATGCACAAGTTGACTCTATTATTGAAATTTTGTAGGTTTAAGTGTGTTTAAATAAAAAGCTGAAATTCTATGATACTCCATTGAAATACACATTTTGGTATGATGATGGTTGTAAACCTAGATTTTCTTTAACAATATAACTATTTTATAGGTCTGAATATTTTGTATTTTTAAATTATTTCATCAAAATGTAATTAAAAAGGAAACTCCACTCCACCTGTCCACAATGCCTTAGGCATTATTGTTATAAAATAGGTCGAATATTATGCCATAGGTTCTGATGACAGCCAATGAAACAAAGTAATTTACCAAGTCCTCTGCCCTGTGTCCTACATTTGCAGCAATTCATTGCTTGGTGAGTGGCAGAAGCTATTATGTTTGGTTCATATCTGAATGTGGGTCATTTACAGAAACCTAGTATGTGACATTTCTTCTAAAGCTAAAAAAGGACAAGTGTGAACATTTAGCTACTGCACTATTTTAAGGGTCATACTAAGGATGATATCTATAACTTTAAGTAGCTCTAAATGCAAATATGTACACGAAGAAGAATCAAATATAATTGTTCATTTCCAACTTTCTATAGTTACAAGTGAGTTTGTTGGTGTGACTTTATACATTAATACTCTGTGTATTTCTGATGTAACCAGAAAAACTCTCACTCACTGGTTAGTTAATTCCACTAGAATGATTCAGGGATAGCTCAGGGCAGGTAACATATAAATAGACAAACTTCTTGTCATATGACCATTATCTGTTTGCTTAAATTCATTTTTATTTTTACAATGTTGAAAAACACATATTCTTTAGAAGAACTGTTCAACATTTTAAGCAAGGTGTATGACATCCAACTACTGATATGTATGAAGATGATTTTGTTGCTTTTCTAGAAACCCTTAAATATCTACTATTATTTTTAATAGTAATTGAAATTCACAAGGCTTTTGTTTGAAATCGTACTTCATAGAGGCAAGCAAAAACACAGAGAGCAAAGATGAAAAGGAGAATAAAGAAGAAAAACAGAATTTTAGAAAAAGGTAAAAGAAATTCAGAAAGTAAAAATGTGCACACGATGGGAAATAACCAAAGCTCCTATCCCTGCTCATTTTCAGAGAAGGTCCTACCATAGCTGCATAGTCTCGAGGTTAAGTCGCATAGTCTCACATTTGTAACGGGACAGTCATCTCCATTCAGTCTTCACTACTTTACTCACGCAGTTAACAAAATGTTCATTCATGCTTGCTGATTATACATCAAGTTCTGGGAATATGGCAGATGGATGCACAACCAGTAGAGGTAAAGTAAGGACTATAGGAAGTGGATGGGGACTGATGGGAAGGATGACACCATGACGAGAGTTGCACGGGACATTACATTCATGAATGTCATGTGGACAAGGCAGAGTCTGTATTAAGTCTGCATTACAAATACGGGCAATAGCATATGGGCTCAAGGCAAGAAGTGATATACATATTCTCTGCTGGCTTAAAAATCATTCTGGTTACGGTGAGGAGAGCAGCAGATTGAAATGAACAAGAAGAAATGCAAGCCAGCTTGTTGGATGGCTACTGTGAGAGCTAAGTTGTGAGGAGACTGGGAATATTGGACACGGTAGGATGCTTCATAGATAGAACTTCACAAGGAGAACACATAAGGAATTTCTGGAATCCAGAGGTGGTGGATATGAAGGATTTTGGAGGAGAGAGAATTTGAGGAAAACTCTCAGGTTTCTTTATTCTTTTTGTCCTCTCCTCCCCTTCTCTCCTCTCTTTCTCTCTCTCTCTCTCTCTCTGGATGATCTTGCATATACTAGGATAGGATACCCTAAATAAAGAAAGGAGGGTATTAGGAGTTTATTTTCTGAATGCCATTTTTTTTTTTTGGTACCAGGGATCAAACTCAGGACCTTATGCTTGTGAGGCAGGCAGTGGAACCACTGAGCTAAATCCCCAGCCCTCTGAATGCCACTTTTAAGGACCTTCTGGAATATGATGGGGTGATCAAAATATTATGAATGTTTAAAAAATTGTTTAATGTATTACAATAAAAAATACATTGTCAAGAACAATGCCATAAGTGTATCTGAAGCAAGGGGTGTGTATCGAGTATTCTGAAGGGGACTAATAACAATGTCTCTTTTACTGTAATAAATGTTTAAATTTAAACATTGACTATATGTTTTGAATACACATCCTATACCTGTGTAAATACACATCTATACAAAGAGTT